ATTGTGTTTGTTTCATTCCAAATCCATTGTGGTGGTGTATAGAGCCAAAGATGTTAGAATTGTGTCGATGTCCCAATATTTCTGGACCTGACTGTATATAAGTTAAACACTGTTTGATGACTCATATCATTCTCTGAGATCACTGGGACAAAAATACATTCATTGATAAAATGCAAGGGGTCTTTTGATTGTCCATATCATCTATAACATCAGCTCTATGATAAATTGTCCAATTTGGACAAAAGAGAATTTTTGAATTCTCTAATATCTGAAATAGCTCTTCTGGGATCAGGGTAGTTTTCTTTATTCTGAAAGTTAAGATTGGCATATATTTTATCTGTGTAGAAATTAAAATTCAACACAGGTTGTACATAATACAGGCTGAGGTCATGTACAGACATGATGGTCTTGATATCTAACCATAATTAAATTATAAAGATCAGACTGAAATTCTCTCTGTTCATTTTAGATTCTCACTTTCCTCCCTCTGCAAGCTGTAATCATAATTTAAACTTAACTATGGCTAAGATTTATCTGAATTCTTTTCCTGGAAAAAAACAGTTAGTTATAATCATTCATCCCTTTATAATTTTGGGGCTGGATTATTGTACTGTACACTATGTAGGACTGCTTGTAGAAAGCTCAATTAGCCTGGAATGCCACTGTGAGGATCTTATTTAGACTTGCAAGACAGACCATATTATATGAATTTAACCTCAGCCTGACTCACTCCCAGTTTGTTTCTATGATCAAGTTTCTGATTTTGTCCTTTAAATCCTGTTAGACTGGAGTGTCTCAATAATTACATCCTCCCAATTGCATAAGAACATTGCTCCATTTCTGCAGACTTTATTGCTTCCACCTTCTTCTGAGTCCCCCTGCTGACAAAAAAAACTATCTGGTGAGGATCAAGGAAGAGACACTTTTCAATTATGGCATCCAGATTAGGGAATATTCTCCCTTATGGGATAGATTTGCTTCTAAAGTACACTGAATATATTTTTAGTATAGAACTTTTAATCAATTTGCTTCCATTGCTCCTTTTTAAAAATGGCATTCATTAGATGGTTTATTATGTTATTTAAACCTGTAATTTAGTAAGTAGTCTTATAATTAAATAAACCATGTTCCCATCATAATCATTATTTAAAGCTAGTTGACAAACACTAGTGACAAGGAAACCTGATTAGCACTGATCGTTTATTGCCAGTGCAGGCAAAATCTTTAACCATATTTAAAACCCTTAGAAGGATAGAAATCATCTACATTGGGAAGAGAGAAACTGAGCCAGCTCCCAAATGTTTAATCATGATAAGAAATTAGGAGTGTTGTGAATGTACCTGGCTTGAATTGAAGTAATAAAATATGCAAAGTTAGAACAAGGAGAACCATTACATTGAGATGCAGTGACTCTGAACTGGTAGAGTATTATGAGCAAATTAAAGCTCACAGATAGCAGAGTTACTTATTAGACTTTTTGGTAGCCAATTGTAATACAATCCTGAAAATTGGAATCATTCCATAATTATTTCTCTTTCTAGGCCATTTCCCCATTAGTGCCAGTGCATGTCCTCTAAAATCATTCAGCTGTCCTTGAAGCGGTATAAAGCCTGTCCTCGAATCTTATTTCAAGGTCTCTAATTCCTTTTAGAGCTACCTTTACTATGAATGCTCTAATAGCATTATGATTATCACACTTGCCTTGTAACTAGAAGATTACTGATTCAAAACCCAAGAGAAAATTCTTTGTTAATTACTATTTCTCTTTCCACAAGCTTCTTCCTTTTCCCCAAGGACTTTGAAAAAAAAAAGAAGTCTAGTGGAATACTATTTTAGTGTTTTTGCAGTCACCTAAGGTATAAGAGTTTCACCCAATGCTACCAAATAGCCTAGAGGATTTTTATTTCAGGTGACTACAAAAATGATTAAATGATACACTGCTGGACCTAACTAAAAACAAACAAACAAGCACACAGAGAAAAGTAAGAACCTCATAGAAAGAAAATAGTAACTGAAAAAAAAAACATTTTTGCTGGGTTTCAAACCAGCAGCCTTTGATTTACAGGGCACGTACTATAACAATTGTGCTATTACAACATTCATGGTAAAGGTAGCTCTAATTAGAAATAAACAGTACGAAAGGGAAGTTTCTAGAAAGCTGCTTGATGTACCTGCCTGAATATACATTTTAGTGCTTTAACTTTGTATATATAAATTCAGTTTAACTTTGAGTGTAACCTACTCACAGGAAGAAAAACAACTGGCATTTGCATTCATGGAACAGAAAGGAGGGAGGGCACAGCAGCAGGGGAATTATCCAATGGGAGAATGTGATAGCTTGCTGTCCATACTGAATATCTTGTAAACTGTTGCTAAGTGTCTCAGTCTGGACAGGATTTTCTTACGCCATCTTAGAGCAAAGTGGTATGAGAACAGGACAGGAACAGCTTAAACAATAAGCGTGGATATGCCAGTGTTTAGATTACTCAAGAACAATGTTTCTTAAAGTGTGGTCCAAGGACCCTCAGGTGTGCCCCAGGACCCTCTCAAGGGTCCGCAAAATAAAAATTATTTGCCAGATGTTGAAGATATTTGCAAAAATTTAAAACAATGTCACTCTTCTCATTACTATTTTTCATTTGTTAAAAAATATAGGTTTTTTTTCATGAAAAATATTTTATTTATGTTAATATCTAATGGGTTTAATATTTTTAAACTTAATGGGTTATTTTTACATGATTCAATAAAACATTTTCTACAAATGTGTCAATTTTAATTTTTAATACAGTAATTATTGGTAAATATAACCCATACAAGGAAAGGTCTTTTGGGGTGTTCCATAATTTTTAAAAGTGGGAAGAGGTCCTGAGAGCAAAATGTTTAAGAAACACTGCTCTAGAAGAAGCTATCAGTCCTGTCTTAGAATGGTATAAAGAAAACAGAGAATTTAGACTGCCTCCCATCAACCACCAGAAAGGCCTTTACCAAAATCTTTACTTATTCTCTGCCTTTGTCAGTAATGGTTTTCTCCTAAATCCTTGTGACCTGTTCTTTTACCTTCTGTATTTCTCATTATTCTACCATAGTGTTTTCCTAACCATTTTCTTGTTTAAAAAGTAATTCTTCATTATTGAAGTTCATTCTGTTTTCCCTAGAACTCACAAGGAGTTCAGCTTACCTTCTTTCTATCCCAATATTTCTCATCAGCATGGTTATAGCATAAACCTGATGCTCCATTTTCTTATGAGAGCCAACCATCCCACCCATTTATTCATGTTAGCTAACCCATCATACAGTGTTGTGCTACAGATAATGCAAAGAGGTTTGCTTCATCACTAGCTACACATTAGTCCTTTTGTTATATTATCCTAGCCTCTTTGCTTTATCTTGCTCTATTTAAAACTTTGCTTTGGAATTGAACTGGTAACAGTTTCATTAAGAGACTGATTCAGTAAAGATCTTGGGTAAGGAATCTTGCCATTTCTGAACTGCAAGGAAATCATAGTCCAGTGTGCAGATGTAACACATCAAACAAAAAATAATCTTCATGGTAAGTGTCTAATATTTCATTTCCCCCACAGAAATAATACTTGTTGCTTTGTCTCTGCTAATCCATTTGTCTGCTAATTAATTCACCCTTTCCATGAAAAACAAATAAAAATCTCATAATTGTAAACTGTATGACAAGAGAATAACCATTATCTCTTAAACCATAGGCCAGAAGACATTGTTTGACAACTTTATGTCTGTTAGGCACATGATTTGGGTTAGGGTGAAGTTTATGCTAAATAGTGAAAGATATTGGGAGTTGTTGCCCATTCTGCCTTACTTAAGAAATAGTATTTTCTTAGTATTTACACTGTTCAATCATGCCACAAAAAGTATATCCTAGCAAGCTGATTCTCCAATAACAGAACAAGAAAAGGAATCTGAATTATTTGTAAGAACAGAGTTTCTATTAACAATCACCAGATTGATAAAAGTTATTCTGCAAGGAGAATAACTGACATTTCTTGCTATTTCTAGAAACTTTCATAGGCACATTCAACTTCTTTAATAGGTTGATTTGTAACCATTACAACCCACAGATAAAAAACTGAATGGTGCATTTACTGTTTAACATTTTATTAGAAAGGGAAAGTGAAGGAAGCCGCCCAGCGGTACCAGTATGCTTTGAAGAAGTTCCCCCGAGAAGGGTTTGGAGAGGACCTAAAAACTTTCCGGGAACTGAAAGTGTCACTCCTTCTCAACTTATCACGCTGTCGGAGGAAAATGAATGTAAGTGCCCTCCTTCTTAAAGCCTGTTCCTGAATGTGATCCTTTCCCAGCTTCCTTTCCTGTTCCTAATCACTTCCTAACCAAACTCTTACCCATATTCCTAGAATGGCCTTAAAACCTCCACCTTTTTGTAACTTGGTTGTCCTTCACAGAGCACTGGCGTTTTCTAATTCTGAAACAGCCAAGCAATGCTTTAGGATTCATTTCAAACAATTAAAAAATCATCAATCTATGAAAACAGCTGCTATAGCTTCCTTTGATTTTTTTAAAAATATTTCTGTGTGTATGCAGATTGGAGGATGCTGGTGGATTTAAAATGCTGTCTTTTCCTTCTAAAGCTCTTGCTTTCTCTTAGAACAGTGACTCAAAGTCAAGATGCATAGTTTGCACTCTCCTGGCATGTGACAGCACTTCATGCTACTCACAAGCTATTCATGTTTAAAACAACATAAAAGGTGTGTTTGTGTGTGTATAGTGGAATATGCCTGTGAGAGAGAAAAAACACTTTTTAGGTTAGAAATCATATAATAATAACTCAGTGATATAAACACTGAGACACATAACAAAATATAACAGGTTAGATTTTAAACTATGGAAACAAACTCCAAACTTAAAAATATAAATAGATTTTACAGTTGCAACCTTGTACATTTGGTTGGCCGCTATGAGAACAGATTGCTTGGACTAGATGGGCCAGGGGTTCGATCCAGCAAGGCACTGCTTATTTCTTAATAATATATTAGTAGACTTCACTTATATCATCATAATGATGGTATTAAGTCTAGCTAAGATGGGTAACTCTTTTATGTTAATAATAAAGGTGGTACAACAAAAACTTCAGGCATACCTATGTCTGTCCTTATTCTTGGAATTTTAATTCTGATAAATGTGATTTAAACTCTCTCAAGTTTTAAAACCATATATAAGAGAATTGTAGGGTTATTCAATGTAAGCTTGCCCATGCTGCCCACTCTGGCCATGCCTCCCCTTCCTTATGCTCCCAGCCACACAAGTATGGAACTTCTGCATGGAGAACCTCTATGTATGTACTTCTGTATCTATCTAAGACCCTTCACATAGTCATAAAGAAAATTGTAATTAGGAATTGTTGCGAATATCGAGGATTATGTAATAGATCCCTAAGTTCCCCTTACCTAATTCCTTCAACACATGAGACAGTTCAAGTGAGCCAACCATAAGAATATGAGAAAAACAAAATAGGTTACAATATATATTGTTCCAGAACTTGTTCATGTCAATGGTCAGTATGAAGACCTAAATAATTTGAAGTTATTAGTACAGAAGTACCAAAAAAAAGTTGCAAATTTAAAAAATACTTGGAGTTTTCTAGGGCAGAATAAATGATAACACACGGACTGAATGGATGCACAAAGAACAGGTTAGACACTTACAGTCCCAGTTTGGGAATGGATAACTTAACATCTCAAAACAGAGTTGGATCTCTTGATACCAGCTGTCTGATATTTTGCTAATGTTGGAAAATACTCAGTCCGCTTACAACAATCTATCCATGTGATTTTTTTTTTCTTCCCAAATTCTCTGTGTGTTTTTTCAATGACTTATCTACGCACCTATTGTAATGGCAGGATTTTGGAATGGCGGAGGAATTTGCTACTAAAGCACTGGAGCTGAAACCGAAATCTTATGAAGCTTACTATGCAAGAGCAAGGGCCAAACGCAGCAGCAGGTGAGAGGAGAGCCAGAGAGAAATGAAGGTTTGGGTGTGATACACTCTTAAAAATGCCCTGATCCACACAAGGAACAAATAGCAAGAGTGTACCTGAGGGAGAGTTTAATTATAATCTGAAGATAAAAGATTCAGAAACTCTTATGGCCTATCATCAAGCTGAGCATCTTCCATAGTTTCAGCTATAGCAGCTCTTTAAGTTGTGCCATAGTGTCCTTAGAGCATTCTGCAGGTACTACTTTTATCCATACCATAAAAACGTGCATCAACATGGAGGATAAGTTTGTGGATTAATCAATAACTTGCTCTGCTCTTAGCATAAGGTTAACTGTTATGTAAGATAAGTTGAAAGCAGTCGGATCAAGGTATGTGTCATTTGTGTTAGGATTGATGCTCAGTGGGCCTAGTTCATGTGCTGAAAGTGGGATCACATTTCAGAATCCTGAAGTTGCTGGAGAGCTTTGTCTTTCAGAAACTGCTATCCTCTTTGATCAGCTCATGGAGTAAGATACCTGACAAGAGTGTGCTTTGTGCCAGACTGAGCTGAAAACCCTGCGGTTTAACCCCTCAGCTCAAGAACAGCCCATTGAGCTGCTAATATACCCTTCTCTTGGTCTCTCCTTGTGATTAAACTTCATTCCAGAGGCTGAACTCTACTCATTGAGCTAAACTGCAAGTCATTGTTATACTTTCCCACATTTATGCTGTTTTATTTGATTTTCCACAGTTGGCAATATCTTGTTCAAAACAGTTAACCAGGTTAATTTCTAGGACTTCCCCACATTCAGATTCTTGGGGTCTACTGTAAAAAAAGTCTTCCCTTGCCTTGCCTCCCAGCATCAGCAATCAGTATAGGTCAAATGTTTAGGTGTTCAACTGTTTTTGTGCTTTTAAAACACATTTGTGTGTTTTAAAACCAACCAAGAAAGCAAAATGCATGAAGAGTCTAGAGATTAATCTCTACCAATCAGAAACACATGACTAGATTACTATTTTGTTCAAAATCTACCAGTGTCCCTGTAAATGACAACCCACCTCCCTTGAAACTTCCCACCCTTCTGTTCCTCATAGGATAGGCAAAGGCCTGTGAGGTTTTTGTCAGACACTCTCCTATCCTTGTTCTCTTTCATTTCCAAGAGAGCAATACTCAGAGCAGAATCCACTGGCTGAAGGCAGGCCTGAGCATGCCCCTTTTCTGGAGCCTTAAACTGGCATAAACTCAGACCTAAAATAGTGGAGGAACAGAGCTCTACAAATCTGAAATACCCCAATATATTGTCTTTGTTCCCTCATCTCCAAGAGTGCAGTCTTGGAAATATTGTCTGTTTCTTCTCCTGAGTAAATAGAAGAAACACACAAGGCTGAAGAATCTGGTTCACAAGATTTGGAAATCCTCCTCCTCATGATTAGCTATAATTTTATGCATAAGAAATTCTTATTAAAGCCATTCTGATCCAGAGTAAATTTTATTCGTTTTTTTTCTTTTTGTCATTTTTTTTGGATCAAACAGGCAGTTTTCAGCAGCACTGGAGGACCTGAACGAGGCCATCAAACTTTGTCCGAACAACCGTGAAATCCAGCGGCTCCTTATGCGGGTGGAAGAAGAGTGCAGACAGACGCAGGTGCAACTACAGCAACAATCTCTCGTAGCATCTGAACCAGAAACACAGCATGAAGAGTTGTATGCAGTACAAGACATCTTGGAAGAAGAATATCTTGAGCAAGATGTAGAAAACATTTCTGTTGGCTTACAGACAGAGTCACGACCTAGCCAAACATTGCCCATTATCCAAAGCCCACCATCTTCCCCTGCCCACCGGGACTCTGCCTACATCTCCAGTTCACCACTTGGTTCACACCAGGTCTTTGACTTCAGGTCAAATAGTTCTGTAGGATCACCAACAAGACAAGGATACCAACCCACCTCGCCAGCACTTTCCCCAACGCACCAGAATTCTCATTATAGGCCTAGTCCACCGCACACATCTCCTGCTCACCAGCCCTCCTCTTACCGTTTTAGTCCACCTCCAATTGGTAGCCAAGGGAAGGATTATCAAAGCCCACCTCCTTCACCCCTTCGTAGAGGCCCTCAATACCGAGCAAGCCCTCCTGCAGATAGTGTGAGTGTCTACAGAGCTCAGTCCGGCTCACCAGTACGATACCAGCAAGAATCCAACATCAGTCAACTTCCTAGTCGGCCAAAGTCTCCACTTTCTAAAATGACACAGAGATCTTTCCAGATGCTTCCACTACCTGTTGCAGTTCCACAGCAAGGACTTAGGTTGCAGCCTGCCAAGGCACAGATTGTCAGAAGCAACCAGCCAAGTTCAGCTGTGCATTGTAGTACTGTGATCCCAACAGGAACTTATGGCCAAGTATCCCATTCTGTGGCTAACAAGTATCAGTCTTCGCTAGCAGAAATGGCTGTTGGCCAAAATCGGCTGGTTTATCAGAGCTCTATTGGGGGAATAGTGGGGGATGGGAGACCTGTGCAGCATGTTCAGGCCAGTCTGAGTGCAGGGGCAATCTGTCAGCATGGAGGGCTGACTAAAGAGGATCTTCCACAAAGACCTTCCTCTGCTTACCGTGGTGGGATGAGATATAGTCAAACCCCACAGATTGGGCGGAGCCAGTCAGCTTCCTACTATCCAGTCTGTCATGCAAAGCTTGACTTGGAACGTTCCTCTCTACCCTCTAGTCAGCTTGGTTCTCCTGACATTTCCCATTTGATACGAAGGCCCATTACAGTAAATTCCAATGAAATAAAGCCTCATCCACCAACTCCGAGACCTCTGCTTCATTCTCAAAGTGTTGGTCTCAGATTTTCCCCTTCTAGCAATAGCATTTCCTCTACTCCCAGTTTGAATCCCCCATTCCGCCCTTCTGCTTCTGTTCAGCAGATGGAGATTCCACTTAAGGCAGCCTATGACAGATCATGTGATGAGCTTTCCCCAGTGTCTCCAACCCAGGGTGGTTACCCCAGCGAGCCTGCTCGCTCCAGGACCACACCTTTCATGGGAATCATAGATAAAACAGCCCGGACTCAGCAGTATCCTCACTTACACCAACAAAACAGAACCTGGGCTGTGTCTTCAGTGGATACCGTTATAAGCCCTACATCTCCTGGAAATCTTCCCCAGCCAGAAACATTCAGCCCACCTTCTTCAATCAGCAGCATTGCCTTTTATAACAAAACCAACAATGCACAGAATGGCCACTTGCTGGAGGATGACTATTACAGTCCACATGGGATTTTGGCCAATGGCTCCAGAGGAGATCTTCTAGAAAGAGTTAGCCAAACTTCTTCATATCCTGATGTTAAGGTGGCCAGGACACTGCCTGTTGCACAGGCATATCAGGACAACCTCTATAGGCAACTTTCCAGAGACTCCAGGCAAGGGCAGACATCCCCAATCAAACCAAAGAGACCATTTGTGGAGTCTAATGTTTAAAATGGATGTGTCTTGGAGTAAGAGCCTTTTATTTTTTAGCACATTTTTCCTGGCTGAATTCACATCTTATGTTGCTGTTTTTCTTCCTTTCTAAGATTTTTATTCACTAGCAGACTACCACCCAGGGGATTTCCTGTGTTTTCTGTATGATGATGAGGCAGTCCAAGACATGCTCCAAATTCTTTTCTATACACAGCTGACCTCAGAAAAAGCCAGCACCATACAATTTTCAGCTGTCAGGCAATTAAATGTACAGTATGGGGGCTGAGTCAAATTATATACATACTCAAGGGAGGTAAACAGCTCTTTGAAGAAAAGTTTTCATTTCAAAATTGAATTGATTGGAATACAATCTGACCCTTTTGTGTATTGACCCTTTTTTGCTAGGAAATTACACTCTTCAGTCTGTGTAGGCTTTCTACATTTCTTCATTGTGTCCAAAGAGCTATTAATCTGCACGAATGGGGTCTTTGTTTTTAGAATTAAGGAGCTATGCATAAAACCCATTCTGCTTTATGTGGTATGATAGGGGTGCCCTTTTTTAAAAAGCCACATTATTATTTATTTTTAGTATCTTTCCCTGCCACTCTGTTGGCATTAGCTTTGAAAAGCAAATTGTTATTTTTTCCAAGGCATTTGAACAAATATTCAGAGAGAAATTAAAGTCCTCTCCACTTTAGCCGAACAGTCAGTGGTGATATCATTGTGTGTCTTAGACCTCCAGTCCATTTTCTAGTGTGCTTGTCTTCCTGATGCAGCAAATCACACTGTAGACATTCTCATATCAGTAAAATTCATTAAAAAGAAACAAGAATTAACCAAATGCTTTAAATCATTGGCCCTCCGGATACTGGATTATACTTCACATCATCTCTAACCATTGCTTATGTTTCTTGGGGATGTTGGATACTGTAAATTAGTATCTGAGTATCTAAAATTAGAAAAGTCTACTTTAAATCATGAAGGAGGGACTGATAGAATGGTAGTTTTAATACCCCCCAGCCTAGATTTAGCACTGGTACTCTCCTGGCAAAGCTTCCTGGATTACAGATGGGCAGTCTTCCCTGCAGCTGCTTTTGAAGTTCTTCTTTTCTTCTCTAGGTTAATTTGGTATTGAGATAGAAGAAATATGATTTGGTGTTAGAAGTTGGACTGCTTTTCCAATCCAAATGCAAAAGACTGAGTGATTCATGATTCCTGCGAGCTAATGAAACCAGTGATCTCAAGGGAGAAAATGATAATGTAGCAAACGCTTTATGCAGATATTCTCAGTCCATACTATTTTCAGTAAGCTTTGAATTAGCTCAGAAAAGCTTGACTTGGTACAGCTAGGAATCCATACCAAGGGATAGAAGAATATTTTGTGAATGCATATATGAATCAGGAAACCATCAATAGTATAGAGAGGTCATCCCCAGGGCAGAAACACAAAGCAGGCAAAAAAATACATCACATTTTGCCTTCTCTGCATTTTGATCATTCAGAGGATGAATTGGCTTACCAACTTCTGAAAATTAAATTTAAAAAAAAAATGTTTTCACAAGGCACGCAGGAGGAAGCTGGCTGGCCGGGAGAAGGGGAATCGAGGGAAGGAGGGGATCGTGGTTGCATAGAAGTGAACAGCTTGCATCTTTGCCCTTTCATTATTCTTTATTATTCTTGTCAAACTATCCTAATGGTTCTAAAGTACAATACATCTTCCACTGTGCTTTATGATACCTCTTTTTAAAAAAATATATGCTGTATTCAGAAGTTCCTTTATATGAATAGAAGAGTATGATAAAAGATATTTTTACTAATCTTTAAGGATTCCATCTTGAAAATGAGGTCAATAATTTTTTTTTTTTAAATCTGGAAATGTTTTCAGATATTTCCTGTTTTAAGGTCCTGAAAGAGCTCAGAGAGGCAAAGAGATCAATATAACAATTGACTATTTTCTCTGGTTTCATTATTATAAGTTGCCATATTTCTCTGGGTATGAAATGTAGCATTTCCAAGAGCTACTTTTACTTTGCTTTTGGTTCTTTACAACTCTTGCACATATTTTCCACCTTGAATTGGTCACATTACAAAATTTGCTTGCAAAATAGAAAATTACTGTTCTGGTTGATTCATGCTATGGTATGCTGGTGTCAAAGAAGCTCAGATGTTTGCTAGTGCTTTTTTTTCAAAGAGCTGGGGGGCATGCTTCAGTTTTATTAACTTATTGAAACCAACACTGGTGTTCTCTCTTTTCTTTCAGTGTTTGAATGTGTTTGTGTGGTGCATGAGTGTGAGAGAAGGAGAGAAGTGGAGAAGTTTCATAAATAAACCTAAAGATGCAACTCTATATTTGCTTTCTTTTATTACCAGAATAGATAAAGCCACTGCTGTTTTTCCCACACATTTCTTTTGTCTCCTAAGTGGTTTAGATTCTGGGTCTTGTAAAACATTTTTTCCTGCTTTATGAAGAGTGGTTATTTTAAATTTTAAACTCTTTAAAACTGGAATTTGCACCAAACAAGATTATGTTTCTATATGTTTATCTATGATTTAGTTCTTTAAAACATTTTTGCACTTGTCTTGCTTATATCTTGGAAAAGCTAGAACCTATTTTGTCGCAGTACACAGAGGAGGATGAAAATAGCTGTTGTTCTGATTTTGGGCCTTTATACAGTCACTTGTACCTTAGTGCAAGTGATCAGCTGAAGTGCACTGAGATATTAGGTTACCCACTCCTTCCTGATAAAGTTAAAAAGAATTAATAAGCCACCTCTGTCATATGGAAGGTGGAGTCATCGTGCTTCTATCATGGCAACTGCCTTGATAGTTTCAAGATTTTAATCTTAATGAATGAATGCTCATCGTGTTGAATCCGGCTCCATCTTCACTGCCATGGGGTTCTCTGTACCATAATTGTTTACATTTAGGAGTTAGTAAAAGAAACGGCATGGTCATCCAAAATGAGATATCAATTACTGCTGTTGGGCAGAATTTTCCTCCCCCGCTTCTTAACAGTACTGTGTTGTGATTTCACAGGATTCTTGCACTGATGGGTTTGCCACCTGCTCTCTGTAAATTGGGTGCACTTTATAGTTGCATTTGTTTCTATGATCAATAATGGTTATTTAAACATAAATGATATTGTCATTAGAAATACAAACAGCTCTTGTCATTCAATATATATTTTTAAAAAAGAAGCAATGACTCAAAGTATATAGCACAAGTACTAGACATTGTATATATGCCTCAAAAGTTGAAATCATTTTTAGTACAAAGAGAAATATATGCTGTGTTCTTCCAGCAGTTCTCTTTAGGTGCATCTGAGGCTTAATTGTTGCTGCTTTTAGTTACCAAGTAACACATCTCTTCTGAAATAAAAGACATATTTCTCTGAAGATTTGGCAGAGAGAAATTCCCTCTGTATTTGCTCTCAGTTTAGTTCTTCATTGGCTTATCATGTCCTTTCTTGAGATATAATATAATACAGCACAAAATAATTTATTTCATTGTCCTTTTTTCAACTGAGATATCTTTCAAGTGAGTTTTTTCTACTCAGGAAAGTTAAAAGAGTGGCTAATACCGCAACACAGAGATCTGCCATAGTGTTTTTTGTTTGTTTGTTTAAAGACACGCAAAAGTATTGTACCCACCCCTTTTATATATACATGTGTACACATCACATGCCTAAGTTGGAGTTTCAGAACTATTTTCTATAAAATCCACACACCAAATAAATCACAGCCTCAAGTCCTATAAGACTTTTACTGTGAATGTATGCATGCTTTACCAAATCCACCGTGTGATGCTACTCTGGCTTTGCAGAAAAGTTTTTTTGCTCACTGGACGTTTTCTTGAACAAAAATCTAGATGCTAACTTACTGTGCATCTGGCTGTCAGAGATGTACCAGTTGATTCTAGTAAAGACATGAAGCCTAAGCAGTCTAAGATCTATGTGGAGCGAAGTTGAATTCTTTCTCCCTTTCCTAAGAACCTTACCAAAATTACCTCTCCAAAATTGTCAAAGGAGGCTTCCTATTCAATGTAAAAACAGCTTAACTAGCTGAAAGAGAAAGCTACTTCCTCTGTCTTTGGCGGTCCATCTTGACTGCTTAGTCATATAACAAAATGGGCACATAATTTGCATTCACACATTAAATTTGTCTTGTTTGGCCCCCAAATCTGCTCTCTAGAGGACTATGGAGACTTAGTAATGTGATGCTGACATCTAAGAATTTGAAACAATTAGTTAAGCTGGCTCCAGGTAAAATTGCTATCAGGTCCTAAGAATAATCTAGAAATCTTAATATATTTCAAGTTTGGCTTGGCTCCAGGGGAGAGAGCTGCTAGCTTGGTATATGGCTCGATTACTTATAGAACAAGAGTTTCTCTAAGAATCTCACAAATATCAAATAACTGGAAATATGCTGCACTCTGCTGTTTCAGTGAAGTAGAAAGTATCGGGGGAGGGAGGAATGTAATATATTTATTTTTACAAGTTTTACAGAATGGACTAAAAAAGGAACAAAAATGCATTTGTTTTGAAATTCCAAGCCATTCACTTGGCCTTAGACAGGAGTTAACAAGTTGCTACTATTCATGATCTCCACAGAAAGTCATCTAATATAAACCGAAGTGCCAGATTTTCTGCACCTTACATTAAAAAAAAAAAACACTCTGTGCCTAGAAATTTTTCTCCTCTGCTTAAGGTGGCCCCTTGTAATTTCTTGAATGGCAAGCTGCATCTCTCTCCCCAGCTCCCACTACTGAACACTGGGAGTTCAGGACCTTCAACTATTAAAGAGTTCAGCTTTTTAAAAGGGCTTAGAGGAGGCAAAACCTAATACACTTCTTCTGACATGTTAGATGCCTTCACTGAAATTATGGTTGCTGTGAAAAAGGAAGGAAAAACCTAAGGCACAAGCACAAAGGGGTAGATAAGCTGAACTGCCCCTCCCCTCTCTAATTACTTGAATTTAATTGCTGGATTGTTATTGCTCCCCTAACAAGAAAAAATCATATTAAGGGCTGAAATTTCATAGCAGGCTATTTTGTGCAGTGGTAACTGAATTAACTTAGAGAACCTCAACATAGTATTATCAAATTGCTATTTCAGACTAGGACCCTTGGTACAAATTAAAAAAAACAAACATATCTTTAATTCTCTTGCAATCACTTGGTTTTCCTCTTGTAACTGCTTCCCAATGAAAAATACCAACATTGTTGTCTAGGGCTGCTTCTGCATTTTGAATTAGTGCATATGCGAGAGTCTTTTAATAAAATGGAATGAGCTTTTACACTTTTCTGCTTGCTCGGAAGTAAAGAAGGAAGATGATTTTTGCTTGTTGCCATCACAAAGTTTATGAGAGAATTGAGGCAGTTTGACTTTGTTCCACCTGAACATGTACCAGACCTTGAGACCATTTCCTACCATTATTTACTGTTACTAATCATTCCACAGAGCGCGAGTATTAATATGTATAGATAGAAGGTTTGTTTTCAGGGAATGAATGTTTCGCTTTTTTTTTTAATCTCCAGTTAAATATGTTTCTCGTTACAATTTCTTCCCCACGAGCATTGAAATATTTTGCCTGCCTTGTCTGCCTCTATACAGCAACACACGTTCCTTTGTATTAAATCTTTCTGGTTTGCCATCTTGCTGGAAAGATACTGAGTTCCTTTTCCTTTTACCCTTTTCTATCAGTCTGATGTAAAGAATTTTCCCTGTACAGTATAATATTCAATTGCATGTTCTGTTCTCTTACTGATATATTGAATCACCACACAGTTGTGATCTTTTATTGTAGGGAAGCTGCACAAATCCCTGCAATCGGTTAAGACTCTTGGCCACCCCTGTATAAAGGAAAGAAATGTGTTTCTTTCCCTTCACTGTATTTGCTTGAGCAGAGTTTTATTGTCTGTACATGTGAGCTGTGAGATAGACGTGGAAAAAGTTCAAAAAGAATGCATTATCCTCAGCCCCTCCCTAATGTATACAGATTGTAACCTGTACAATGAACTGTATGTATTAAAAATGTACCTATTTATAAATGGTTAACACTTGGAAATGGTGGTTGACTACTGTGTTCAACATGTCTATTCTCACACTTCATGGAGTGGAAAAAGCACATGTTTTCAAAGCACAACTCCTCCACTAATTTTCCTATCCCATTTTATGCTTTAATTGTTAACAAATCATCCTTTATGTGTACTCCTTGCAATGTGTCTCCCTATTCTATTTGTTTTCAACATTTCTTGTTCCAAAGGCTCTATTTTATCGCATTGGTTCAATGGTGTTCAAAGAAATGCCACGATTTCTTATTTAATTCAGACCTTTTATGTCTGTTGGAGTGGGTGTAGAATAGAACGTGTCTGAAGAAATTCCATCCTGTTTTACTGACATCACTTTATCCAAGATAGATCAGTCTCTTTTGCATATATTAAAACACTAAGTTTATGTTTTCGTTTTCGAAAGACAACTGAAGCACTGCCATGATGGGAAAAAATTCAGTAAGGTTCTATTTAATGGGACTTGAATTCATAATTGTAACAGGTATAGCTAATTTTAATGATTAATCCAATGGGAAATATGCTGCAAGTATTTTATGGATATTATATCAAGTTCCTGCATAACCTGTTCTTAGTAAAAATGGATTTGCACAATTAATCACTACTAGAGTCATAACATCAGCCTATCAGGTTCACTCAGAGTCCTTCTGTCCCACTTCCAAATTCATTTATACTTATTTGGAAAATGGGCATCTGCATAAAAATGCATACATATTCTATACTAGTTTGGTACTTTTCTAAAGTTAACAACTTTAAAGAATTAAGAGTCACAAGACATCAAAGACATTGATATGTTCCAATTTGAGCATTATTTTGGAAGGTGCAAAACAGATTGGCTCTCTTCTAGATGTGTAGCAAATGAATTTTCAATCCAATCACTACAGAGCTTTGTTCTCCTGGCCCACTTGTAAATACAAAGCCATGTGAATATGCCTCTTAGTCTACCTGTTTAATCATAAAATAATGTATAAAGGATTTTATTTTATTTTGAAAGTGGTAAACATTTGGATAATAATGGATATGGTACAAGAATGAAAAAAACATAATCCCAGAGTGTGGGTGGGAATAAACGCCAAGCAACAATCTCTCTCTCTCTCTCTCCCCCCCCTCTCTCTCTTTCACACACACACACACACACACACACACACACACTTTTCAGGAGCAAAAACAAAGAGCTGAGGTCATTCCATAACAAAATACACCACATCGCTACATTGTTATACTTCACCATATGTCAATTGTGAATCCTACATATTCTTCACAAGATCATATGAATGTTTCTTCATAGTCACAGAAGCAGACGTGCCCACATCTGATATGAATTCGTTCTTTAATCCCTATATAGCCCCTAATCAATAAAATCTAACCTTCTGGGGTACTAAACATTTTGGCTATGTGTGCAGACATCTAAATAAAAGTAGAAAACTAGATAGTAATAAAATGCAATGCAATCTTGATGTTCAACTGAAACACAGTTCAATTTACAGTATTTGAAGTTAGTCCCAAGTAACTGTTAGACTGAGGTACAAAAGGTCCTTGCTGTGCTTTGAAAATTAGTTTAACTGCAAGCAACTGAAAAGTCCAGAGTTTAAAGCAACTATCTACTGACATCAAACTTATTTACCAAACCAAAAGGATATTGCCAATACAAGAAATAAATGGTTTTATTTTCCTTTTGATTTTGTTAGCTGTTTTAATGGTGTATGATATATGGTACTTAAAAAAAAATTTCATCAAGAAATTTCTAGAAAACGAATATTTTCATATGCAGTATGGGATCTAGCATTTATTTAGTATTTTCAACTACTCAGAGCCTTAGCTAAATAATCCTTGCAACAGCTTCATCAAAATGCAGGTCAGGATATTATCCGATTATTATTGCTGATGCAACTTAAGTCAGTTCAATAAGTTGACCTGGGCCTCAATAAGTATGATGCTTTGTAATCATGCAGCTGCTCACATCCATTGGCTCATTTCCCCAAGTAGTACAGTTAAGAAATAGCAATCTGCTGTTTATTTTTAAAGATCAGTGTGTTGCCGAAAGGTACTTTCCTCAATATTAATTAGGAAGCATTCTTCTAATCAATCTTTTGATTACAGCAGTGTATAAATATAACTATTAATAATCTTAAAACCATAGGAATACTCTATGGATGTTATAGTGGTCAGTATCCTGCAGATCACACAGTAAGCTTAAAATCACAGGTGGTGGTTTCCTGTTGTGCCACTTGGGGAAAGGAGCCAGCAGGCATGACTTTCTCTGCCATATTCTGTCATATGAACACAGTTTTTGAATTTCTGAATTTGAACTGCTGACTTTCAAAAGTACCATAAGGAGTTTCTGGACTATCTCTTTTTTTCCAGGATTTCTGTAGAGTAAATCTCTGCTAATAGAGGAAGTGGAGATTCTTAACCACATAAGTAGTACTCCTAAATCTGTCTTCCCATGAACACAAAGTACTGAGTTAGTTTAAGTTATTGGATAGATTTTAGTAGAGGCAATAGCCATTCAGCCATTCAATTTTATTTGATCCATCTTTGTCAATAACATAATAGAGACTATGTGCAAGGCCTAAGCCGCACTAGTCAGGAAGGAGAAAAGCAATGTATTTTCCTCCTCACTGCATCTGCAAAGTACTGTCCAAGGGAGCTCCTCAAAGATGGTAGATAATTAAATCTCTCAAGGTGCTGGATAATTTCTTGATACCATTTGAGATTCATTGAGAGCAATTTGGTCAGCTTTTTGTGACCAAATTTTCCCACTTCAGGCTGAGCTTGATGTCACTTTGGGCAATGACCTATCTAGAAAGTCGACTGCACTATCTACTAGTATCTGCCTGAATCACTTCATTGTTTGTCTCCCAAGAAAGTGGACAAGATTCTTGAACCATTTTGTGCCACAACTTGCATGTTTAGATTGTTTTCCAGCCTGACTTATAAGGGTTCTAAGGACACAATTTTGCCCATTATCACTCTGATCATTGATATTTCTCTCTTGCAGATGGAACTGCTTCCTTAAAGAAGGTGGTAAGATGTCCCTGCTTAAGCAGCCATCCTTGTCATGGCCAATTTTAACAATTATTGGTCAGTGTCCAATATTCTATATTTAGCCAACTGGGAGAGAAAGTGGTGGTGCAGCAGTTCAAGGTCTTAGATTAAATGGATTATACAGTATTGATTATTTCTGATCTGATCTTAGACGTAGATTTGGTATGGAGACATCTGAATGCATGAGCTTTACTGGAAAAGAGGGAGTGTGATCCTGGTAATACTTCTGAGCCTTGCAGCAGTTTTCAGTACCATTGATTTGATGTATTTTTGTAGCATTTTGAGAAGCTGGGGGATGGAGATGCCTGTCAGCCCTTCGAGTTAGATACCACAAGGATTCCAGGAATGCTACTTTATTGGTATAGAATAGCAGTAATACTGACCATAGAATCTACAAAGCCTGTCAGAGTTTCTCTCTGCCCGCCACCCATACCAAAGAGAATCAAGTCAGTGTAATTTTGATTTTCTTTTTCATGCTTTTCACAATCCTAGGACTAAGTAGTGGTTTTACCTCCCTTAGTGGTTTCTCCACTCTACATTCCTTACAGTGTCACTTTGCACTAGCTTTATTTCTCAGTATGCTACTAGAAAATGGTATTGGAAGACCTATATGATCAATCCCTTAGGAATGGTCCTGGAAGGTTTCATGGGCTTTCACTTCGTGTCTTGTGTTATTTAACTTCTATATAAAAATTGCTGGGAAAGATCATTTGGAGCTTTTATCGGGATACTGATAATATCCTTTCCTGCAAGCATGGGGTTGGATGCCTCCAACGTTTCTGGGGGTTTCTGAGATGTAAGGAACTGAATGTGAGATAATAAACTGAGGCTGGCTTCAGACAACATGGAGTTGTTGCTGATTCCAGAGGCTGAACTTTGGGAACAGGTTTGCAGTTAGGGGATTTTCCTGATGGTGTTAGATAGTCATATAACTTCAGTATTAAGAAGGATATTTTATCAACTTTGGCTGATAAAAATAGGTGTAAAAAACATAAGACCTGGAGGGAAAAGACCTGGTTTTGGTGACTTGTGCACCAGTAACATCAAGGCTGGTTATCCCTAGGAGAAAAGGGATAACCACAGCTCTGCAGACTTTCAGCTTTGTGGAGATATGGATGTTGTGTTGATTGAGCACTCTAATACGCAGCTGCCCCAGTTCCTGGCTGGCCTTGCTGATCCTGGAGTCAATTTCTTTGTCCAAAGACCCATCGCTTGAGATGATGCTTCTCAAGTATTTAAAGCTGTTTTCATTTGTCAGTTGGGTGTCATCAACAGTGATTTTTGGTTCAATGGGTTTGGTATTTAGCATGGGCTGGTAATGTACTTCAGTCTTGATCAGGCTGATAGGCTGAAGAGCATGGCAGCATCTGAGAATTTGTTTAGCATCAACTGTAGATCACTGTCTTTGCTGATGACTGTGTGCTCCTGGTGCACAAAGAGGTTTCTTGGATGACTGTATGGAGGCCCTTTGTCCATGCGTTCAAGCAGCAAAGATCAAGAGAGAGCCGTCCAATCGATACCTGATGTACACTCCCTCCTTCAGACCCTGGACAGCACATGACAACATGCAAGTGAAGAACAGATTGAACAGGACTG